CCCCAAAACCCCAAAACCCCAAAACCCCAAAACCCCAAATTTTAAATATTTTAATATAAAAATGAAGTACTTTAGCTTTGCCTTTCTGGTCTTACTCTTCATTGCGGTGGAATCAAAGACCTTACTTGATATTGAAATCGAGACAACCAAAGAATTGATTGAACTTTATCAAAGAAAAGCTGATTTGATAAGTAAGATGAATACAACAGAAGGAGTCTCAACAAATAAAGTTGAAGAAGCCATCAGCAAACAAGAAAGATTCTTAACAAAGAAAAGAGTTAATATGACAGAAATGATTGGATTTGAGGACCCATTTAAAGAATCTCCTCACTATGTTTCATCTGTGTCTGATAATCAGAAGGAATATGAAAAGCATCGTGATCGATTAGAATCTTTGTTCCATGAGAGAATCTTGTTTGATGAAAATGGAAGAAATATTACTCAACATCAGATCATGAACATTAAACCACTCACAAGATCTTCCTCCGGTGGGTATATGGTCCAAGGAGTACTGCTTGGATTAGATAACATAGATATTCATGTATACGATGTTTATAAAAATCTTTTAGTAAACATGTCGATGGCAGAATATGGCGGAATCAAGCTACTCAAAGGTTCAAATCACAATGAAGATATGTACATTGTGGCTATCTCTCCAGACAATCATTTATGAGAATTTAACATTGAATTAATTAACACTTTCAATAAGCGTAAGGAAGAGCAGAACACGAGAAATCCAAAAGGAATTTTGCATCCAATAAATGAGACAAAGAGTAAAGAAACAGGAAGAGAAGATTTATTCAACAAAAATTATAAAAGAATGCTTTCTTTATACAAGTACTATGTGGAAAATTCAAAATGAGTAAATCTTAACGAATTCATGAATACCACCAATGTCAATTATAATCATATTGAGTTCTACATGAATAGAGGCATAAAGTATTACATATTAGGAGATGATCAAGGATATGTCAACATTATCGAGAAAGGATTAGAAAATAGATATAGAATCTATTCTGGAGAAGATGAAATAATCCAAATTGTCAAGCATTCTCTCACTTTAATGATAGTAAATAAACATGATATTAGGTTCATTAAGTTCTTTAAGAGAGAAATTTCTTCTATAAGATGTCACTCAGGAATCTCCGAGCTTAAATCAATAGTTGTAGACACCAATCACAATGGATTTGTGTATGGAATTTCTGCAGATGGGGATATTTTAATGTTTAAAACAGAAAAGCTTGTCAACAACAATGTAGACAATATCAAATGCAACCTTCAGGGAAAGTTAAAAGTAAATCTCCCGAAAGACGGGGGCAAAGAAATATCTCTTTCTAGCTTGACTAACTACCTGATAGCTCTAAAATCTGATGGAAATCTAGAGATCTTCGATATGACAAATATCAACGACTTCTTTGCAAACCCTATCAGCTACAGCATCAAGCTACCCTTCACCACTTACTCAGAGGTAAATTTTCCTTATAAATTATAGATTTTGCCAAGTACACCTGCCCTGAGGTCAATAAAGTCTTTTAATGGGAACTTATTCCTTGTAAATTTCTTGACCCCTACTAATTCTAAGCTTGCTCTGTACGAATGTTTGACTCCAGTCAAGCGTGAAACAAACGAAGGCGAACTATTTAACTTCAAATTCCCCATATTCTTCATTGCCTTCGCTGTTGTTCTAGTGTTCCAGTTCGCTAATAGGAAGGAAGGAGAAGATAACGATATAATAAGCATTCTGCTAGGATGTTGTGGGATGAGAAAGAGAGGCAAAATTTTTAGGAATAAGAAGGAAAAAGAAATGCATGAACTCGAAAAGCTAGTCACCCAGTTTACAAAAAGAAATACAGATGCAATGGATAAAATTGGAGGAGATAAGTTAGGCGGTTAATATTAGATTTAAGAAAAGACAAACCAATGACAGATTTGTTTTAGAGTTAAAGTTTACCATTAAAAATTACAAGTTCAATTTTAAATAAGCGTATTGGGGTTTTGGGGTTTTGGGGTTTTGGGG